TACGTTTTTTTTTTTTAAATGTGTGGTTTATTTGTGCGTACATGTTTGTGGGTTGGCACATGTGTGTTCATACATGTATGTTTGTGAAGGCCAGAGGTGATGTTGGGTGTCTTCCTCAGTCATTTTCTGCCTTGGTTTTGAGATAGGGTCTTTCACTGGAACTGGAGCTTACTGATTTGTTTAAACTAGCTGGCCAGCAAGCCCAGGGATCCTTACCCATGTCCCTGGGAAGTGGAGCACTGGGATTACAGGTGCACCCTTGCACCTGGCTTTTTACATGAGTGCTGGGTATCCAAATTCAAGACCTTACTTAGCATGGTGAGCACCTACTGAGCCATGTCGAGTCCTATTTTGTATATTCTTACTTTCTCATTTTTCCTAAGTATTGCTATTCCCATTGTACAGATGAGGAAAATGGAGGATAAAGTTAGTCACCCAGAGGAAGAAAGAATCACCCAAGGTTGTACAGTGCCTCAACTTGAGTTCCAGCTCAGGTTTTGTCTTTCTCATGGTATGAATTTTTCCCAGAGCATGAATTCTTGGCATTGCCAGTGAAAGCTGAGGCCTGTTAGAAACTGCCAAAAGAGACAAGTGTAGGTGTGGTGGTACACATCCTTAATCCCAGCACCCAGAAGGCAGAGACAGGCAGATCTCTGTGAGATTGAGGCCAACCTGGTCTGTCTAGCAAGTTCCAGGCTGCCTGGGACTATCAACTCCCTGCCCGCCCCCCCAAGCTACCCAAAGTCATTGCTATCAGACAGTACCCTAGACAACTCACATTGGCACCTCCTTCCCACCCTCTTCCCGACTCTCGTTTCTGCTGGCAGTTGGCTTTCAGGTGCTTTGAGAGACAGAAGACCTGGCACATATCTGGAATTTATCCCACATTCCAAAGCACATCAGTATATATTCCCAAATTAAATTATGGTCACTGCCTGCATTAAAAGGCAGGTGAGCTATGCTTTAAATAAACTACATTAATTCCGGAGGTTGAAACAGAGCCCTGCTGGGATAATTCTTATCGTCATCAGCATCACTGCCAAGCTTTAAAAGGATCTATCTAGTAAGCGGTTTGCAAAATTGAAAGATGAAAACACACTGTGAAGTGTTCCTGGCATTCAAGGTTAGAGGGAGCACCAAGAAGAAAATACAACTATATATGTTTGTGTGAATGTGTGTGTGTGTGTGTGTGTGTGTGTGTATGTATATATATATATAATTTTTTGAGAAAGACAGGATACAAAGTGAGAATCACTTGACTTGAAATGTGGTGGGAATACAGGTAAACACATTGCTGGCCTCTGGCTAAAGGAAAGTTGTACCTCAGATTGCCTCATGTTGGTATTTGTTTGAGTGTTGTGTGACTTGGGTGGGGGGGGGCACATGAAAAAAATATCTATTTAATCCAGATAAGAAACTGCTGACAGGCCAAAGAAATGATTCAACCCAAGTCTATCTTGACAAACTAGTGAGTTTATTGGCATTACTTGTGGGAGCATGGCTGACTCAAAGACAGGGCATCTCTGAAAAGCCTGCTGGCATCCCTGGAGCTTCCTGCCCAATTTACAGTCAGCTCTACCAAAGAGAATCTCTTTTATGTAAAGCTACTTTTATAACTTGAGGGAGTGGCCTTGTGACTCTTGTAACTTTAGTGTGCTTCCTAGTCTTATGTCTTAAACACTTCCCTCCTCTCTCAGAGGTAGGATGGTTCAGTTCTCAGGAAATCAGTACACCACAGAGGCAGAGGAGAAACAGAGAGCTATTCTGTGCAGTTGTATAGACCAGTGAGGCTGGGAAGGGATTAGTTTGCCTTGTGAGGGCTAAGACAGAACTTAGGCTCTAGCAAACTGGGTTTTGCCATTCATCCTGGGAAGTTTATTTTAAAAGATCCCAAAGTCGGGCAGTGGCATGATTCAGGTAAAGTCTCTTGTTGCCAAGCCTGATGATCTGAGTTTGATCCCTGGGAAACAAGTGGTTGAAGGAGAGAAGTGGCTCCCATGAGTTGTTTTCTGACCTTTACACTCATGCCATGGTGTATATGTGCATAATAAATAATTGGATATAATAAAACAATTTAAAGACCTTAAAGGGTGTTGCATCCCTGAATACCTGCACATCTACCCATCCATACACATTTAGATGCTGCTGATCCAGAAAGGGTAAGAGGAGGCCACATAGCACCCTCTTCTTAAGCATGTGAGTGTTGGTCATCCTGGGCTGGGTATTGTGCTCAGCTCTCTATCTGCCCTTTTCTCCAGTTATCATATAAGCCCAGGCCGTCTGTGCTGTGCTTATGGAAGAGGAATCTGAGACTTAGCATGGCTGAGTGCCTTGCTAGGGTCATGTAATTGAATGATCTCTTTGTTTCTTTGTCCTGTCCACTGGACTGGAAGCCCGTCAGGGACTGGCCAGTCCTTGCTGTCTCTGCCTGGCCTAATTCCAGCTAACAAGGCAATTGATCCTGTTAAGGTGAAGTATTAGAGTGAGCTTATTAATCTAGTGTGCAGTTTTTTTTTGGGGGGGGTCTTTTTGAGATAGGGTCTCCCTGTAGCCCCAGCTGACCTGGAACTCACTATATAGACCAGTCTGGCCTTGAACCCAAAGAGATTTGCCTGCCTCTGCCTCATGAGTGCTGGGACTAAAGGCATGCACCACCACACCTGGCTAGTGTCCAGTTTTTGGAGCTGTGTATATTTGTATCCCTTGGAAGGAAGGCTCAGTGACTTTAATGTTCTTCAGGATCTGTGAGCCTATTTAGCTCCTGGATTGAAAGCTGAGTCTGGCAGCAGAGACTTAGCTTTTCCCCACTTGGAATATTGAGCAGTCGTGAACATGCTCATTTTGAAGGAGGCAGAGTGGTTTGTGTTTAGCACAGGGCTCCTGCTCACCTGTCCCACCTAGTAAGTGGGTGGGACTGGTCCAGGACTCCCAACTGACCTTGTCTTTGATGTGAAGATGGCCTTGGTTCCTGTGAGGTCAGTTATAAGGTTTGGTGCAATGGCTGGTGCACAATTAATACTCAAGAATTAACAGCTATTGTTGTGTTAATGGAAGTGTGGGAAAAATGGTGATGAGTCAATGTTAAGAGAAGAAAATTGATCACAAAATGAGGTATAGCTGTAAAATCACCTGTGTGTGTGGATGAGAAAAGTAGACTTGAGGCGATGCCAATGATGTAAGAATAGCTGTTTTGTGGATAAACATGTTTATTTAGCTTTTCCTTAAAGTCTTAAATCTGTCCATGATCTCAGACCAAGTAATTTAGCATATGGAAATCTCTCCTAAGGATCTAGAAACAAGGACAATTACTCATGTACAAGGACAGTCTTTGCTGTATAGAAGGGAAGTACTCATGTTAGCTTATGCTTAGTAATTAAGAACTAGCTAAGTTATGTTTCATCAGGAAGCCATTGAAAATCTTGTTTGACATTCAGAAGACCAAATAAATAAATAAATAAAATAAGCGTGCATGATAAACATTATACCCGAGGACCTTTAATTGAGCTGGGAAATGGTCATGATTTAGAAAAAAAAAACTGAGCCAGGATATAGAACTACACGTGTATATATGTACATACAGGATAACAGTATGTGATACAGTAGAACTTTTGTTTTTGAGATGTGATCTTGCTGTGTTACCCTTGCTGGCCTTGAACTCCTTGACTCAAGCCACACTCTTTCTTCAGTTTCCTGATTAGGGAGGACTGCAGATGCATGACACTATGCCTGGTCTAAACCACATAGATCTAGTCTCTTAGCATCCCAGAGACCAGAACCCACTGGGCTAATGTCAAGGAGATGACAGGGGGGCAGCACTGGAGAGATGCTCAGCCTGTTAAGAGCATTGGCTGCTTTTGCAGGGGACCTGGATTTGGGTCCCAGCCACCCAGATCGTGGCTAACAATCTCTGTAACTCCAGTTCCAGGAGATCTGATGCCATCTTCTAGCCTCTGTGGGCATTGTATGACATGGGTGCACTAACATACATGCAGGCAAAACACTCATACATATAAAATAAAAATAAATTAAAAAGTGAATTACAAATGCTCAGTAAAATTATATTAAAAAGATTATTACCCCACTGATCTTCATTATATGCAAATATTTTGTCCATAGTTCAATAAAACTATATTGTCATTTTTGTTTTAATTATTTAATGTTAATTTTATTTCTCTTTAGAACTACCTTCTCTAAACAATAAAAAACAGAAAGGCAGGGTTTTAACATGATGGCAGGGCTGGTTCCCGCTGGTGCTCCAGGACAGCATTCTTGCCTCTCCTGCCTCTTGGGGTTGCCAGTGGCACATCAGTCTAATCTTTGCTTCCCTGGTTACATTATCTTCTCTCCTTATGGGTCCATGTCACTGCCTCCTTCCTTTGAAGACATGACTGTTGTTATTGTGTTGGGTCCACAGGAACTATAAAGGGTACTCTCTGCATTTCCACATCCCCCATTTATTATTTATTTATTGTTTATTTATTTTTTGGTCTTTTTGAGACAGGGTCTCCCTGTAGCCCCAGCTGGCCTGGAACTCACTATGTAGACCAGGCTGGTTTTGAATTCACAGAGATCCACCTGCCTCTGTCTCCCAAATGCTGTGGGGCGCGGGCCACCGGCTCGACCCCGGCTCCCCGTCCCTAATTAGAGTTGTCAAGGCCCCTATGCTGTGTAAGTCCGCATTCATAGGTTCCAGAGCATAGGATGTGTTATCCTTGGGAACATAAGTCAGCTTCCACAAATGTTGAGTTTGCATAAAAAGGAATGGTATGAGGGGGAAAAAAAAAACCTGGAAGGAAATATTTGAAATGTCAACTAATAATGGTGGTCTCTGGATGGTAGGTTTTGACGCCCTTTTTATTTTTGATTATTCCTCTCCTACTTTCTTTGTGCTAAGGAAGTAATGCTTTTTACGGTCCATTAAGTTGCGGAGGGACCAATGCCCTGAAGATGCTGAGCGAACAGGCCCCGTGAAGTGACACATTGCTGTCCTCTCTCTGCAGAGCCGGTATTCTGGTTCTACGTGAAGGAAGTCCTCAACAAGCACGAACTGCAGCGCTTCTACTCCCTGCGCCACATCACTGCGGACGTGGGCCGCGGCCGGGCCTGGCTGCGCTGCGCCCTCAATGAGCATTCCCTGGAGCGCTACCTGCACATGCTCCTGGCAGACCGCGGCAGGCTCAGGTACCCAGCTGACGGCTTCTGGATGGGATGGAGACTAAGGGGATGGAGTGGAAGAATCTAGAGTCAGGCCTCCTGGGCTTGTGTCCCAGTCCCTCCCCAGGGGACAAGAGGGCCCTCTCCCTGCAGCCCTGCTCAGCCCTGGTGAGTTGTGGGAACCCTTGGAAGAACAAATGCCACAATGCCTGTAAGGGGCTCTGCTTGGCACCTGTGTAGCCAGCACTCTGTCAGTGCTTGCTGCCCAAGGCTGGGATCCAGACAGGCCTGTTGTCTTAAGACACAGATAACATCTCACTTTATAGAATTTAATTTAAAAAAAAAAGATTTTATTTATTTTTATTTTATGTGTATGAGTGTTTTACCTATATGTATGTAAGTGTGTGTCTGGTGCCCACAGAGGTCAGAAGGGGTCATTGGATCCCCTGGAACTGGAGTTAAGGATGGGTGTTAGCTGCTACGTGGGTGCTGGGAACCTAGGTCCTCTGGAAGAGCAGTAAGTGCTTTTAACTGTTGAGTCATTTCTCCAGCTCCTTCATGGAATTTTAATTTGGGTTTCGTTTATTTGTTCAGTCCCAAACTGACTGTTTTTGTTTGGATCTCACATGTAGGGTCTCACATGTAGCCCAGGCTGGCCTGGAATTTATGTATTCTTCCAGCCTCAGTTTCCTGAGTGCTTGGGTTAGAGGCCTGCACCACCTGGCTTACCCAGAAGGAAGTCTCTGTTTTTAATAAACTTCGTTTTTATCATATGTTCTTTTTTTTTTTTTTTTAAAAATTATAAACTCAAAGTTCATTCAGGAAGTACAGGTCAAGTTGTGCTGCATTACAGACACCTCAGAAGTCCCCATGACCCGAGATGGCTACTTTTATTTCTTTTGATGGCTACCTATTTATCATAGTGGGCAGAGTATGCTCTCATGGAGCCAGGCTGACTGGAAGGCTCCACAGCTTCATAGAGCCATGATGGGAAAGGGGTGAAGTAAGAAGCACTGGCTGGTAAAGCTTCTGGCCCCTCCCCCAGGTCTACTCCTGTCTCATTGGCCAGAGAGAGCCACATGGCCATACCCAGAGTTCCATAGGAATCCTCAAAAATAGGAAGATAGCACTAGGTATGAGCCAGTGATGGTATAGCCAACCACAGCTCCTTAAAAACATTGGAAACTGCAGTGGAAACCGATAGTTTTAAAAACAAACCATTCACAACATACATGAAGACAGTTCTAACCTGTAGGAATTTTCACCTATCAGTTTTCACAAACCCATAAGGGTTATGGTCTCTCTTGCTCTGGCTCTAGCTGCTATTCTTTTCTCTGAGAATGGTTGACTAGACATGTTTCGTGTCACCTGACCATAGGATCATGCTCCTGGCTCCTTGAGTAACTTCCATATCAGCAGTGCTTAGTTCCTCAACACTGAGAGTTCATTATTTCAGTAAGTAGGCTTTTCATTAGCTCTGTGACGATTCCTTGATTTCACATCTTGCCAGGTACTTGTGGGCTCAAATCTCCCCTTCTGCTTCTACCACTGTGGCCCCCTCCCTCTCCTCCCTCCTATTCCTCTGTTTCATCTTCCTTCCTCTCTCTCCCTTTCTCCCACCCGCCCTCCTTCTATTCTTCCCTTCTCCTCTCCTTTTTCTTCCTCCTCCTCCTCCTCCTCTTCCTCCTCCTCCTCCTCCTCCTCTTCTCCCCCCCCCCTTTTTTTTACATTACTGGAAATCAAATGCAAGCACTCTCATGTGATCTGCAAATGCTTCACCCCTGTATTACCCTAACCAGCCTCCTTGTAGGCTTTTCTCTATGGTTAGTGTGTCTGTGAGATGGCTCAGTGGTTAAAAGTTCTTGTCAGTATGCAGGCCCGAGGACCTGGTTCAACCCCCAGATTCCTTTATCCCACTGTGGAAGGAGAGAGAACTGAATCTTGAAAATTGCCCTTGACCTCCATATGTATGCCCACATTCACACACATCATGTACTCACATATGTACACAATAGTAACAAGTAAAAATAATAAGTAAAAAAAATAATTAAAAACAATATTAACAATAACCCACATAAAGAAGCCAGCATAGTGACACACATTTGTACTCCCAGAGATGAGGAGGCTGAGACGGGCAGATCTCTGGGGCTCACTGACCAACCTGCCTTGGCTACTTGGTGAGCTTCGGGCCAATGAGAGACTCTGTCTTCAAAAAGGTAGGTGGAGGCTAGAGAGATGGCTCAGTGTTTAAGAACAGTGGCTGCTCTTGCAAGAGACTAGGATTCAGTTCCTAGCACCCACATGGTAGTAACTAGTTCCAGAGAATCTGACACTCTCTTCTGACCTCCACAGGCATTGCACAGATGTGGTACACTTATATACATGAAGGTAAAGCACTCATACACATAAAATTAGAAAAAGGTAGATGGTTCTTGAGGAATGACATTGGAGGTTATTCTCTAGCCTACATATGCATGCACACTTATATACATACATGTGTACCCATACATACATGAATGTACACACACACACACAAACATGCTTGTGCACCAGATTAATTTATATGCATGAAAGCTAGTTCATATTTTCAAAAGAACCCATTTGGGAAATTGGGTATGGTCAAAATGTCAGCTTGAAGCTGGGCGTGGTGGTTCACGCCTTTAATCCCAGTACTTGGGGGACAGAGGCAGACAGATCTCTGAGTTCAAGGTTAGCCTGATCTGCATGCTAGCTGGGGCTACAAGGAGACTGTGCTGGATAGCTTTAGTGTCAACTTGACACACCTGGGTTAAGGGAGCCTCAATTGGGGAATTGCTTCTATTGGACTGGCCTGTGGCCATGTCTGAGGGGCATCTTCTTGATGAGTGATGTGGGAGGGCCCAGCCCACTGTGGGTGGTGCCACCCCTGGGCAGGTGGGCCTGTGTTGCATAAGAAAGCAGGCTGAGCAGGGGTCAGGGAGCAAGCCAGTAAGCAGCATTCCTCCATGGCCTGTGCTCTAGCTCCTGCCTCCAGGTTCCTGCCCTGAGTTCCTACCTTAGGCTCCCTGATGAACTGTGACCCAGGAGATGTAAGATAAATATACCCTTTCCTCCCCAAGTTGGTAGTGATTAGAGTGTTTTGTTACAGCAATGAAGAACAAACTAAGACAGAAATTGGTACCAGGAGTGGAGTATTTCTTGGTGTTTTGAGAGGACTATGGAAGTGTTTGGAACTTTGGGCTGGAAAAGCCATTGTGTGCTCAGTTTGTTGCTGTGGAGCCTCTCTCTCTCTCTCTCTCTCTCTCTCTCTCTCTCTCTCTCTCGTGTTTAGTCATGTCAGCAGCCAACTTTTCCAGTCTCTTGCTGAAGTACAGTCCACTCAGCACCGATTTGACATCAGTGAAACTGTACCTAGAATTCTATGACCTTGTGGGTAGTCATGACGTTGAGGATTCTAGTTGTTTATTGCTTAACAGAGAGTCATATAAAATGCTTAGAAATATGACTTGGGAGACCTGTTTTTATTTATTTTTTATTATTTAAAATTTTTTTATTTATTATTTTTATTTTATGTGTATGAATGTATTGCCTGCATGTATGTGAGTGTACCCATGTTGTGCAGTGCCGCGGAGGTCAGAAGAAGGCTTCAGATTCCCCTGGAACTGGAGTTAAGGACAGTTCATAGCTGCCATGTGGGTGCTAGGAATTGAACCCGGGTCCTCTGAAAGAGCAATCAGTGCTCTCAACCGCTGAGCCATCTCTTCAGCCCTGGGAGACCTGTTTTTAAACCTTGCTGTACCAAACCTTGCCTAAGCCCTGTGGGTTTCTCCCTACTCCCCAACTTCTGCCTAACTTCACAAGACCTTGTTAATCTCCCAGTCTTTTCCATGGATAGCTTGGGGTTTTGGATTTGTAGCTCAGTCAGGTATTATAAATGGATGCCCTGATTGATGGAGCCCTGGAGCACTGTAATTACTTTCTGAGATTGCCTCTTCCTGTATTAACCTAATAAGGTGAGCCCTATCAGCTAGCTTGGATTTCCTGTCTGTCTCTGGGGCACCTTGTTGAGTGGAAGTCAGCCCTGTCTTCTACTTTGCTGCTTTATAAATACATTTGCATATGTCTATTTCAATCCTCTAAAGCTGGCAGTCTCAGGGGACCAAAGAGGAAGCTGTAGGACCTGTGCCTTCAGACTTTTGTTTACAGAGAGGGCTTCAAAGCAGCAGAGACTCGAGACATACCAAATTCCCTCTGGGATGACCCACCAGGCCCAGCTTTTCCAGGGAGCCATCTAATGGAATCATTGGCCAATGAACGAATGCAGAGAACCACCATTACCAGCCTTTCCCTTTTCTCTTTCCTTTTGCAGCACTTTCTATGAAGACTGGTCTTTCGTGATGGATGAAGAAAGGTCTAGCATGCTCCCTACCATGGCAGCTGGTAAGCCTGGCTGAGGCCAGAGGTGATGTGTTGTGGAAGCTTGTTGAGCAGATAGGGCCTAGGAATGGATTTATGACCCAGGGGGATTCTGTGATGTTCCCTGTCCTCCTGACTTCATGGGTTACTTGCTGCTCTTTTTCCTTTAAGTTGGGACCGTTTATCTGGAATCTGATACCTATGCAGGGAAACCCAGGGTTGAGGTTTTGGTTGAACACTGGCTCTGCCACATGATGACTTGATCCTTTGAGCTCTGTTACCTATTCTCTCCTCCTTTGTGAGGTGGGAATCCTGATAGCTTTCTAGTTGCCATTTTGGAGCCATGAGAGAGCAATAGGAGATAAAGGATTGTGTATATGATTTATCAGCATGAAACAAGGTCTTGGATTGACGTGACTTGGTGGGCTGAGAAATCTTTTGCTACTTGACTCTCATTGAATGGTGAAAGGTGGGATCAGCCAGATAAAAATGGCAGCTTGTCTTTCTTTCAAATTCTTTATTGTTCCATTTATATTTTTCTTCTAAACCTTGACATAAATCCCCACATATTGAGGGTCATATTGGTCTCATCAAGTCTTGGCTCTGGTTTTCTTTGTGGGCTGTAGGACACCAATGTCAGTGTAAGATGGCCTAGAGTAACTGGAAAGATGCTTTCAGGACACTTTCCACTGTTGCTGAGCTGTTTCAGGCAGGTGGGATCTTCAATACTTACAACGCAGAGAGGCCCAATATTGTCCCCAGTGTAAGGAAACAGGTCAGGAAACTGGAGCTCGGGGAGATGACCAGTTGCTTGACCAAGGTTTCAGAGCTACTAGTATCTACTGAGGCTGTACCCAGGCAGCCTGACTCCAGAACTTGAACTGTCATCTACTCCTGTTTGATTCTTGTTGGTAACTTCCTGAACTTCAGGGAGGGAATCTGGAAAGACTTGCCTCACATGATCTGATGCCTACCCATGCCAGTTTGGGGTGGTTTTGTAAATGCTGAAGATGAGCAACCCTGTTGTATACAGTGCTGACTATGTCTTGTTCCTTGTGTTGGGGGTATGATGCCTGAGAGCAAGCACTGCAGACTTTCCCCCCTTTTTTGGCAGGTCTGAACTCCATACTCTTTGCCATTAACATTGACAACAAGGATTTAAATGGGCAGAGCAAGTTTGCGCCCACTGTCTCGGACCTCTTAAAGGAGTCTACACAGAATGTGACGTCCTTGCTGAAGGAGTCCACACAGGGTGTGAGCAGCCTTCTCAGGGAGATCACAGCATCCTCCGCCGTCTCCATCCTCATCAAGCCTGAGCAGGAGACTGACCCTCTGCCTGTTGTGTCCAAGAGTGTCAGTGCTGGTGAGTCAGAATGATCTCTTGGGGTGGTATAGCAGGGTCAGTGAGAAGGAGACCAGAGTGGGCTGATGGACACATGTCTCGCTACCTGCAAGTCCTTCCAAGGGAGCAGAATCTGTTATACTTTCATCTTCAGTGTTGGTAGTCTCCCTCCCTCCCTCCCTCCCTCCTTCCCTTTGTTTCTTATCCTCATTCACTATAAAAAATACCTGACAGATAAGGGAGTAGAAAAGCAAGCAGCCAGCCACAGGAAGCCAGATGGATCATCTTCTACCACTTATCTCCTCACCCCTCCCTTCCTTTATGTACTTCATTCTAGGAGTTCAACAGTGAGCTAAGACTTTGCAAGCATCTAACTTAGTCTCCTTGGGGATGGGCAGGGGTTGATATTTAAAGACAGATGATACAAACAGCTTATTGCTATTCTGTTACATGGCATTAACCAAGCATAGGGTACTTCATAGAGAATGCTTTGGACTTGCCTATGTGGGGAGAGTGCTGCTGATGTAGTGGTCTGAGGGAAGAGGTTAGTTAGCTCTCAGCTTTGACAATGGGCAGGCAAAGGGAAGCTGGTTCTCAGTTAAGATTAATTTTGTAGGAAGTTGATAACACCTCTTGAGCTCATTAGGGTGTTGCTAGAGTAGAACTGGAAATTGGGGGTTAAGATCCATCCCTGCCTTCCCAAATCCCTTAAAGCAGTAATCATAGCCATTTCTTAGACATTCTTTTTTGTTTTGTAGTGGGGACGTGTTCATGCTGGGTAAGTGCTCTACCTTTCAGCTGTGCATCTAGTTCTTTTTATTTTTGAGACAAGATCTCATTAAGTTGTTTAGTCTAGCCTTGGACTCCATCTGTAGCCCAGGCTGGTCTTTAACTTGTGATCCTCTTACTTTAGTCTCCTATATATTGAAATTATAGGCCTATGCTACCAGACCCCTCTCTCTTTGGAATTATTTTTAGTTAATTAATTAATTAATTGAGTAATATGTGTGTGTGTGTGTGTGTGTGTGTGTGAGATGTGTAGTGTATGTATGTGTGCTCATGTGTGTGTTGGGGTGGGCAGGGAAGCTACAGGTTAATGCTGGGTGTCTTTAAGCTCAATCACTCTCCACTGTGGTATTGAGATGGTCTCTCACTGAATCCAGGACTCACTGATTGGCTAGATTGACTGGCTGATGAGCTCCAGAGATCCTCCTATCTGTGCCTTTCAGGATTGGAGTTACAGGCACTCTCTGCCATACCCTGTTTTTTTCTTAAATGTGTATGTGTATATATCTATTGAATGTATGTCATGCATGTAGGTGCCTGCAGAGACCAAAAAAGAGCATTGGATCCCCTGGAGCTGGAATTACAGGTGGTTGTGAGCTGCTCAGTGCAAGTACTCAGAACCCAACCCTGGTCCTCTGGAAGGGCAGTAAGTGCTCTTAACCACTGGGCCATCTCTCCAGCACCACACCTGTTTTTTTTTTTTTGTTTTTTTTTTTTTTTTGTGGGTAACGGGGATCAAACCCCAGGGGCCGGCCCTTTCCCCAATGGGAAACTCCCCGGCCCCCCTATTTTTTTTTTTTTTTTTTTTTTTTTATGTGGGTACTGGGGATCAAACTCCAGTGGCAGGCACTTTACCAATGGAGCATCTCCCAGGCACCTCTATTTGGAATTCTTAATGGAGGTGACAGTTCACACCCCACATGAGTGACATGGAAACAAGACTACTGAGGGCTTTGCGTGACCTCTACCCAATCTCTACCCAATAAGCACTAGTCCTGTCTGTTGTTGGAAGTCTGTTTTTGAAAGGATCTCAGAGTTATGCCACAGTGGTGAGGTGTCACTGTGCTACCCCCTTGGTTATGTGGTTTGACCTGAAGCACTCTCATCTCAATGTGACAGTTAAGATGGATTCATTGTGGCTTTGTCCTCAGGCAGACTTGCTTGCTGTTCAGTTAGCCTTTGCTGTGTAGCAACAGCAAAGGCAGTGGGTAAGCCACCACACTTCCTTATGTTTCATGATTCTGTGGATTAGTTGCTTCTGCTGGTTCCCTAAGGCTCATCCATGAGGGTTTTACACTTGTGTGAGACTTAGGCTGGCATCGCTTCTACATATGATCATTATCCTCCAGTGAGTAAGATTGGCTTCCTTAGTTCGGGGAAGCCAGCCAAGAGGGTGGAAGCAGTTCCACTGCTAAAAGCAGAGAAACACAACAGCCAGATTCAAGGGGTACATAAACAGAGGCCCCACTCTGTGAAGGGGCAGCATAGGCCCACTGTGGAGGGCATCATATAAAATGAGAGGCATTTGTGAGACAACTGGCTGGGACCTCCAGACAGTCTTTCCTGGTCTCACCTCCAGCCCCAGGAGAGTTTTGCCCAGTGCAAGACGAGAGCTGCCATGTCAGCAATAGTTGTGTGCTTTGAATGAGAGTGACTGCCAGAAGGAGAGTTTTACTGTGTGTCCTGGGGTATTTAGAACAGACCCACATCAGATATATTCAGGCTTCTGTGGAAAGATGCTTTTTCAAGGATTTAAAAAAAAAAAATGCCTGAAATAAAAAGAGGCCAACAAAATGACTCAGTGGGTAAAGACACCTGTCACCAAGCCTGGTGACCTGAATTCTGTCCCTTGTAACATACATGGTGAAAGGAGAGAACTGACTCCTGCAAGTTGTCCTCTGACCTCCATATGCATGCTGTAACATGCAAGTATATCCTCCCCAATAAATAAATAAATGTGAAAAAAAGTTGTTTTTTTTTTTTTTTTAAATTTGGGACTTGGGGGCTGGAGAGATGGCTCAGTGGCTGCTCTTGCAGAGGACCTGGGTTCAGTATCGAGCACCCACATGGCAGCTAACAACTGTCCATAACTCCAGTTCTGGGGGATCCGACACCCTCTTCTGACCTCCTTGGGCATTGTACAACATGGGTGCAGTTACAACACATGTAGGCAATACACTCATATACATAAAATAAAAGATAATAAAATTTAAAAGATATATCTTTAAAGAAGATTTTGGGGTCTGTAGTCCCAGCACTTGGGAGGCAGAGGCAGGCAGATCTCTGTGAGTTCAAGGCCAACCTGGTCTACATAGTGAGTTCCAGGACAGCTTTTTTTTTTTTTTTTTTAAAAAAAAAAAAAAAAAAAAAAAAAAAAAAAAAAGATTTTGGGGACTTGGGAGATGGCTCAGTGATTGAGGTGTTTGCATTTGCAAGCAGGAGAACCAGAGTTTGGATTCAGTACCCACATAAATGCTGGGTGGGCGTGCTGCTCTGCCTGTAATTCCAGCCTCAGAAGGCAGAGAGGAGATCTCTGGAACAAGCTGCCTACCAAAATTAGCTACATCAGTGAGCTCTGGGTTTGATTAAGAGATCTGCCTCAAAAGAATAAGGTGGAAGAGCAATGGAAGGAGCTTACCAGCATCAACCTTGGGCTTCCACACACTTCCACATGCACTTGCATACAAGAACACATACATAGAAGAATATACACAAACTTGGGTGCTCACCACACTTATACATAAAAAGAAGAAAAAGAATACTGGGTGTTGGAGATTTAACTCAGTGGTAAAGTGCTTGCTTACCAAGTACAAGGCTGTGGGTTTGGTCCCCAGGATCAAACAAACAAAAGTATCAAAATCACAAAAAGGTTGAAAGCAAACAAAACACAACAAAAAACCATCCCCTCAAAACAACAGCAAACCAACACAAAATAACAAGAAACCAAGGCTCAGCCAGACGTAGTGGCACACACCTGTAATGCTAGCATTTGGAAGGTGGAGCAGGGAGCGTCAGGAGTTCAAGGCTAGCTTTGACTACATAGCAGTTTAAGGCCAGTCTGGGCTACGTGAGACTCTGTCTCAGTGTCCCCTGCACCTTAAAATGAAGAGCTAAAAACCAAGGGATGGAAAGATGGCTCAGCAATTAAGAGCACTTACTTAACTGTTCTTCCAGAGGGCCTAAGCTTGGTTCCCAGCATCCATGTTGAGCAGCACAGAATTATACTTCTAACTTCAGCTTAAGGGAGTCCAATATCCTCTTTAGGTCTCTGTGGGCACCTGCATATTTGTGGCATACATACAAACACATGCACATAAATGAAAAAAAAATATTAAAAGAAGTTAATAAAAAACTGGGCTGGGCATGGTGGTGCATATCTTTAGTTGCAGCACTTGGGAGGCAGAGGCAGGTGGGTTTCTGAGTCTGAGGCCAGCCCGGTCTACATAGTAAATTCCAGGCCTGCCAGGGCTCCATAGTGAGATCCTATGAACAATAACAACAACAACAAAACCCCCAAAAAACTAAAAACAGGAAAGTCTGAATCTGTGTTACTTTATCTTTGAGTGTAATACTAGAGAGTTTTCTACACCGTGGAGGTGAGTTGGCCTGATCTCCCTTTCGTGTAACCTGTTTTCTACCATACCCTTTCTTTTGCCAGATGCAAGGTGTAAAAAGGAGCGGAAGAAGAAAAAGAAGGTGACCAACATCATCTCATTTGATGATGAGGAAGAGGAGCAGAACTCTGGGGATGTTTTTAAAAAGATCCCTGGGGCTGGGGAGAGCTCAGAGGACAACTCTGACCGCTCGTCCATCAACATCATGTCAGCCTTTGAAAGCCCCTTTGGACCAAATTCCAATGGGAGCCAGAGTAGCAACTCATGGAAAATTGACTGTGTGTCTCTGAATGGGGAGCTGGGGTACCAGAAGCTTGATGTAAAAAGCATCGATGATGAAGACGTGGATGAAAATGAGGAGGATGCTTATGGGAACTCATCGGGAAGGAAGTGTCTGGGCCACTCGGAGTCACCAGAGAAGTAAGTTCCACCTGAGCCCTTGATGAGGGAGTTACATTGTAAGAGTGAGACCACTGAGGACAAGTCAGCCTTCGGGTTGCAACAGCAAGAGGTTTATTTAGTACACAGGTACCTGTGGGCACAAAGTCTCCTCGGAGGACTTGCGCGCCCCCATGCTGGGTTTTGGCACTTTTATAGAGCAGAAGCGGGGTACAGAAGCAGAAGCATGGTTATTGGCCCATTCAAACGAGTATAAAGCATGAGGAAGTTAAGTTGCTAAATTCTGGGTGGGTGACTTATGGTACAGATGTTATTTCCTGATTTCCTGGTATCGAGCCCCGGGGATTGCCAGATGCAGATGGCTTGACCACTACGTCCTGTTTTTCTGATAAGCTAGTTTCTCAATGCTTGAC